GTGTGATGACTCAGGAGGCAGAGAGACGGTAGAACGGGACACAGGCCCCATCACACATGTCCGTTTTCTCCCATGGCAGCCACGGCAATCACGTCAGTACCCCACTCACTGTCTTGAGAGGAATCGGAGCCCCTTCAGAGGCATCTCCTAGGGCAGTGGTTCTCAACCTTGGCTGCACATTAGAATCACCTGGGAATCTTTTTAAAATCCTGATTTCTGGGCCTCATCCTCCGGAAATTATGTTTCTTTGTTACTAATGTTGTGGCCCCACCCCATAACAAAGAAACAGAATTTCCGGAGGATGAGGCCCAGAAATCAGGATTTTAAAAAGATTCCCAGGTGATTCTAATGCGCAGCCAAGGTTAAGAACCACTAAACTAGGAAAATCAGGATTTTAAAAAGATTCCCAGGTGATTCTAATGTGCAGCCAAGGTGGAGAACCACTGTCCTAGGGTCTCCTGAGGTTTAATCGCAACGAGGAGCCAGAAGTCTGGCCTTGGGACACTCCACCCCTGACTTAGATGGAAACCCCCTGTACCTTCTGGCAGCCCAGGCCTCCTTGGCCTTCCTCCCCCCTGGGGCTCCACTTCCTGCGGGAGCCTCCTCCATTGTTTCATACACTTCTCAACCTGCAGGAGTTTCCTCTCATTCAACAGGCTCCTTCTGGAGCCTGGAAACTGATCTGAGGACACCTCCGCCCAGGCCTGAAGGCAAACTCGGGGAGGGGGCTCCAGAGGCTGGGAACTGCCCAGGAGAAGGTTTGCGCTCCTCGCGCTAGGAACCTGGGAGCCTGAGGAAATTTTTTAAAATTGAGATATAATTCACATGCCATAAAATACAGCCCTTTAAAGTACACAATTCAGTGGTCTTTAGTATAGTCAGAAAGTTAGATGCCATCACCACTAATTCCACTGGGGTTTCCATCACCCCACTAAGAAATCCCACACCCACTAGCAGTCACTCCCCATTTCTCCATCCTCCAGCTCCTGGCAACCACTAATCTAATTTCTGGCTCTCTGGGTTTGCCTATTCCAGGTATTTCATATACATTCATACACTACGTGGTCTTTTGTGACTGGCTTCTTTCACTTAGCACAGCTTTCGAGGTTCTTGCATGTTATAGCATACATCAGTACTTCATTCCTTTTGATGGCTGAATAATATTCCATTGTATGCACAGATCACATTTTGTTTATTCAGTCATCTGTTGATGGACATCTGAGTTGTTTCAGGTACTCTGAACATTCATGTACAAATTTTTACTTAGACATATGTTTTCAGTTCTTCTGGGTATATAGCCAGGAGTGGAATTCCTGGGTCATATGGTAGCTCTATGTTTAACTTTCTGAGGAACTATCAAACTGTTTTCCCGAGTGGCTGCACCATTTTATCCTGCCAACAGTGTATGACGACTTCAATTTCTCCGCATTCTTGTCAGTACTTATTATTAGCTGTCTTTTTGATGATAGCCATCCTTGTGGGTGTGAAGTGATGTCTCATGTGGTTTTGATTTGCATTTCCCCAAGGGCTACTGATGTTGAGCATCCTTTCATGTGCTTGCTGGCCGTCTGTACATCTTCTTTGGAGAAATGTCCATTCAAATAGCTAGAGGCGCTTGACGGAGGAAATGCAAGTGTGTGTGGCTGGGGAGGAGTGCCTTCTTGGGGCATCAACACTCAGAGGAAACAGGAGATATTGAAACAAAAGTGACACCTGACAGGGAGGAGATGAGGAGTTGGCTTA